AATCCAGGAGTTTATATTAAGGAGAATTTCATCACCGCACGTAATTCACCAGGATAATATACTAAACATTAAAATCTCTAGAGTTCAAATTTGAATAATTTTCAGTCTAATGTGATAATTTTTGAAATAATATGCGAACAGTATTGAAAACTTCATAATGAGAACAAGCCATGTGATAGTGTGACGGGAAAAAATATTGATTATATATTATTATATATTCTGATGTTCACGGGTGGTTCATAATATTATTGAAAGGAATTCGTGCGTTTAGTCGTATTGTCGATGCTGCCATCCTCCCTCCCCTAAGTCCGCCAACGCCACGAAAATGACTAAGGATGAACTGCATGTGTTCTTTACACAGATTTTAAAATCCCGACTTTTCGATCGACCGAAGAACAAAACCTGTTTTTTTTTTCAGAAGATAATATCGTATACATTATGTGTACGTGTTGTGATATTGTGATCGTATCTTGGTATATGCACATATTATTTTTGTCCCTTTTTTTTCTACGCGACTGGCCGACGCCGATCTTTTTGATTTACACAGTTAACTGCTGCAGGGTATATATGCAATACAATGCNAGAAAAGGTATAGGCATCGTTAATATAACTTCAATAAAATTTCAGAGCATGGGGTTTTTGTAAGAACCAACCCTCGATTCCAAGAAATAGTACCGGTTTTTTTCTTTTATATACTTGTCACCGACGCCGAAACGTGATTGTAACTAATTTAATATCGGTGTTGACCGTATCACAAAAAAAATAACAAATAATTGTACATAAGATAATATTTAAAACAATTAAATAGGCATAATAATTAATAATATTTGTTTAATCTACTGATTTTTCGGTTTTTCTCAGTTTTCCCATGTCTAATATATTAAATATTTAATAAACAATTGAGGTTACACAGCACAATTACCAATTCTATCACAAACATCTCTTAAATAATATTGCCAACCTTAATACGGCACATGATAATTCAAAATATTAATTACGCGTATCGCTTACATATAGATGCCTATGTAGCTACAAAGGCAAAGTAGAAAGTCTGTGTGAAAGACCGTGGAGGATATAATAATAATTAAATTAAACATTTCTGGATTTTAGAAAAATTATGAAATATATAAATATACTACTACTACTTAAGTGATGAAAAACACGACAAATAAAAATAATAATAATAATAGTAATGCTACGCTATTATTTATTTTATACTTTAGTATTTACTATAGTAAATAAATATATAAATAAAAAATAAATTAATGCATTACCTGGAGTATTAGTATTCAAATTAAAAATTCATTATCAGGTGTATTACAGGTACATCAGGTATTTATTTATTTTCTATTATAGATTCCGAGCGTAGCGAAGGAGCTATTGTTTTTACAATGTTGTTTATTTTTTTCTTTCTTTTCTTTATTCTAGTTTGTAGACACGTTTCTTCCTAGTAAAACTTGCTCCAACTTTTACGTGTAGCAACTTTTTTGAAAGGTCAAGTTGTCTAGATTGTTTGAATTATCGATACCTATACTCCATTATATCCTGCTCCTAATATTTTAATCATCGATTTCTTTTCAGAAAAGGTACTACATTTAAAAACCAGAGCGTAATCTCTGGTAGAGAAGAAAAAAAACATCTTTGTGAAACCATAAACTTCATCGCTCTACTCAGAGTCTAAAATTCCGTTGTTAATAAAAACAAAAAAAACATGAAAAAACTGTGTAGCCATGTTTTTTATTTATTTTGAGGTACTTAAACGTCAAATTAATCGTATTGAATTAAAAATAAAAAATATTCAAGCAAGTAAATACTCATGAAAAAAGGTAAAACTTTCGATAAAAGAACAATTTTGACATAAAATAAACGTGTATATACCGCTGTAATTCAGGTATATATATATATATATATATATGTACGAATATGAAACTTTATAGTAGGGTTCTTTAAGATATATACATAAAAATTTTAATTGAAAACTAATACAAATTTTAATTTCAATTGGAGGGTTTTCGCCGTGTAAAATCACGTTTCAGACGACTGTATGTTGACGAGATATTCCACTTTTAAGTTTGGATTGGAGAAGAGAAGTGGTACATTATAAACATGCTACACGGCATTTTATCAAACATTACTCTATGACAACTCTCTTACGAACCGAATAGTTTTCGATTTTAAAATCAAAAGTAGATTAGTGGTTGTAATCCCAAAAATAAGGGTGACGAAAAATAATATACGTATAAAATTGTAGAGAAGCTTGTTTTTTAAATGTTCTATAAAACAAATTCCGGAAAAAATGAATACTTTCTGAGATAATGAGTGTACTCACTTAAATGGTCACCTAGTATCTAAGCACAAAACACTACAGACGAAACCGAAACTTTTTATCGATGAAATTTGATTTATAGAAACCTGATTTATACAGGCAACTGCTACAAGTATATGTAATAGAAAGCATTTAAGTCTTTGATGGACACACCCTACGGGCGGAAAAATTTATTATATTATTGTAAAGAAAAGTTATAGGCATCATTAATATAAATTCGATAAAATTGCAGAGCATGCGGTTTTTGTAAGAACCAACCCTCGATTCCAAGAGTGTGTATCGATTTTTTTTTCTTTTATGTACATGTCTCTGTCACCGAGACTTAATTGTAACAAATAAAATTCGGCGCCGTCGTCGTCGGTCTTGTTTTAGTCCGATAATTTAATATCGATTTCCAAAGTATCAAAAAGAAAATAATAATAATAATTGTACGTATATTTATATATATATAAATATTAGTTATCATAAAACTAATAGCTGTATTAGGTAAAGGTGTACAACATCCAGTGCAATGAATTGTCCCGTGTATTTTAAAAACAAATTGGACCATTATTAATAGCCTTATTTTAATTGCGACTGAACACGAGCGCGTACATAAAGGGAATTTTTTGTTTACACTCATAAAATATGAATATCATGCTTTTAATGATTATATGTATAAACTGCCTGTTTTTATTAACTTAAAATGATAAGTATAATAAATATTTATGGTTTTTTATTATTATTAAAATGTACATATTAATTTACAACGGCGGCTTCTTTTCCCTACGACGGGGTAGTTTTTCCTAGTATGGTTTGTGGTTAAGGGCTTTTTTCCTTAATTCATAATAGTCAGTATTTTTTTTAATTTTTTTTTTTTTTTTTTTTGAAGCGTCATATATCAAATAATGTTATTTCAATCCAATCCGTATCGTGGATTTGAATAAAGATAATATGAAGTGTGCTTTGGTTTTATTTCGAAAGGACGGCTTACAATATTATTACGTTGTGTCGAAACTATCCAAGCGCGGTCATGTGCAAATCAATAAATGGCGGAGTTGCGCACATTCGTTAACGACCGCCGTGCTGCAGTTGCGTACTCGTATGTGCTACGGCCTTTTTCGGCCGTCTTTGTTGCACGATGTTTTTATTTTCTCTGTTTAGTGGCGTGGCGATAATATTCGATAATATTCGGTCGGTGTACGCCCAGCTGCCACCGCCGTGCCNGGAACAAGTTTATCGGGTTACTGGGCTCCTAACCTCGCAAAAGATATTTTACGTGTATGTAAAGACTTTCCATTATGGACAAATGTTATGAAAATATCATTTAACTCAACTTATTATACTCCCACTTCAGCTTCAGTAGAAAGTGATTTTGGTGACTTAAAACGAAAAATACTTCGTTACGAAGTTCAACCAATGATCGCTGACAGATTTGTGATTAAGCATCTGAAAGCTTAGTTAACTTGCTCCGATTTTTACGTGTAGCAACTTTTGAAAATTCAAGTTGTCTAGATTGTTCGATTTATCAATACCTATAACCTATTATATCCTGCTGCTAATATTTTGAGTAACAAACTTCTTGCGAACTTCAAGCAGATAATATAATGTATGTTATGCATATCATATTTTCATAGTAGAATATTAATAAGAATAAAATAGGTAAAAGAGAAATAGTAACTTCCTACGATAGACAATAACCATCGTCAATAAATATAATAGGTACCTATGTGTTTTTATCGACCCAATATAGGTAATGGTACATATATTACAATGCAATTCATACGACCGCTTTTACACACGCATAGAACCATTTACACACTCGCAACACCAATTTTTTTAACATATTACGCTGCGAGTCTATTCAAGGTCACATCTGACTGATTGCACGTTGTAGCTACATTATCGTTGATTGTCCTATCAAAAGACAGATTGCCGCGCGTTCACGTTATGCATCATAAATACGAATATTAATACAACTATACCTATCACCCCCATTTATAACCCCATACTTATTCCCATATCCCTTTCTTTCTCCTTTTCTCCTTTCCACAGTATCTTATTTCTTCTTTTTAAATCTATTTTTATTCTACTATACATAATTTTTCGTGGTTATTCACATTTAATAATACATTTTATTAACTTAAAATAATAAGTATAATAAATATTTATGGTTTTTTATTATTATTAAAATGTACGTATTAATTTACAACGGTGGCTTTTTTTTTCCTACGACGGGGCATTTTTTCCTAGTATGATTTTTGGTTATGGGCTTTTTTCCACAATTCGTTATAATATGTATTTTTTTTTTTTCTCTGAAGCGTCAAATATCAAATATCGTTATTCCAGTCCAAACAAATCCGTATCGGGGAATTAAATAAAGATAATATGAAATGTCCTTTGGTTTCGAACGGACGGCTTACAATATTACTACGATGCGTTGAAACTGTGCACGCGCGGGCGTGTGCAAATCAATAAACGGCGTGAGTGCGCGCGTTCGTTAACGACCGCCGCGCTGCAGTTGTGTATACTCGTGTGTGCTAGGAAAAGAAAATATTTTTTGGCCGTCTTTGTTGCACGGTGTTTTTATTTTCTCTGTCTGTCTAGTGGCGTGGCGATAATATTCGACAATATTCGGTCGGTGTACGCCCAGCTGCCACCGCCGTGCCACCCATTGTACTACCGCCGTCCCTCGCAAACCGATGCCTATAATACGACGACCCCACCAACCGCTGTCGGCGACGTAGGACGACGACGACCCGGAGGTGGGGTGCGAACGTTGCATCTGCCGAATCCGCCGGCCGACCGTTCTGCAGTCGCTATTAGTACCCACTACGTCGTCGCTTCGTCGTTGCTACAGCACAGTGCCGTCTCCATCACAGTCATTTGTACAGTACAGTGTCGTGTTCACAGTCGTTGCAGTCTTGTTTCAGACACCTCGACTCTTCGATTTCTCGTCATTCGAAACACAGGTCAATTGTTTTCCATATTATAATTTGTCCTTATTATATTAATCATTCCAGCTATGATATTTTTATTAATAATAGGTACCTACTTGTAATTTTACAACTATACCTCCGATCTTCACGACCAACCCTAGTGACTTCCGAGCCGCCACCATCGACAATGTCGCAACCACCGCCAACTACGCCACCACCGTCAACGTCGCCACCACCGCTGCAGTCCGTTGTGGTTGATGAGAGGCCGTCCATAAGTAAACATTTACACATCTCGTATTATTATCATTCGTTAGATAATAATTTTTCATTCGAAATGCGAGTCATTATGCGTGCATACATTTATTCGTTGTTATTTTACATTCGGAGCGTAGCGAGGGATCTATTGAATTAACTATGATGTGTGTTTCTGTTTCTGTTTTTTTTTTTTTGTTTTGTGAACAAATTTTCTACCAGAAATCTTGCTCCGAAGTAATACTATTGTAATAACTATGTAATATATACTATAGTAATACTATGTAATACTATTTCTGAAATGAAATTTTCTCTAGTTTGTGAGTTAGAAAGTCATTAGGACTACCTATCTAAGTAAAATGTCCGTTTTTAATGGAAATCGAAAAAATGTATTGCAGTCGAGTGAAAAAAAAATACAACGTATACATTTGGGACCGTATACCTAATATATGTGTCCCTCTTTCTAATCGCTATCTCGGTGTTTGTCTACGATCATGGCCATCTTATTCTAAGGCAGTTTCGAAAATCGCTTGGGTGTGACACGGCACGCGGTATTTTAGTAGTGTTCCACCAACTTTAAAGTGAAATATCTCTTCAATAGGTCGACGTTTCAACATTTTAAAGCGGCATATATTTCACGATTTCTAAAAAACCAAATTCCGAAAAAAAAAAAAAAATCATTTTTGAAATAATTAGTGTTGTACGACGAACGGAGCATATAATTGTACATACATTATTTTCGGAGAATTATTATGTTTATAATTCGGTAATTTCTAGTCGTAACGATTGACGATGCGATGATATATAGATACCTACTGCTAATTTATTATTTTTATTTCCCTACTGCTATTATAAAACGGATGACGATTTTAATTACCATACGATGTATCTTTTTAAATGATAGGTACGTATTTTGTATTGAATACATTTTTATTTTTGTAATGATCATATTTATAATGATGTATACATTATAACTATTTTATTATCCAACTGAAATCGTTAATGAATTTAACTACAAACATTAATAGCTTATTATTAAATAATATTTATATATTCTTATATTGGTTCTTAACTAAAAATCGTTCATTAAAATGTACCAAGAATTTTGAATTGTTGGTTGAAAGTGTGTTTCTTTACAATTTATAAAAATTCTTTCGTACTTTTCCTATTGAATGTTATATACATAATTCATTAAGTTCACAAATGACCTTCACCCCTAATAATTACCTTAGATCCACGATTTCAATCATGACCTACTTAAAATATTATAATGAAGTAATTAGGAACAGACCAGTAACATTATTTGAAATTTTTTTGTACGTAATGAACTTATAATTATTAAAATTATATTAATAATTTTAAGTTTTGAATTGTTGAAAATCTTAACCGGACATAAGAAAAAGAATAGTTAATTGATAAAAACTAGTTGATGTTAAGTAATCAATTATAATTTGTGGTTATTTTAAAATAACGATACAAAATGTATTTAAGTTTATAACAGGTATTTATTTTCAGTTTTATTTTTTGTATAATACAATATTCAAAAGAGTGGATATTGCTTTACTCCGCACATCGGTTAAAATTTCAATTTTGTTTTACTCCGAACTCTTATTATAATTAAACGATATAGTAGGTACCTTATAATATAGGAATCATATACTGCAATTTGATATATACTATACAATGTAGTATATATTATATTAATATAGTGGTATGCATATCAAAATATTAAGAAAACAATTATTATTTAGAATCGAAATTTAAAAATACGGGTTACAGTTCAATATTAAAAAGTCTGTCTATGTTTATACCGTTTTTGATAAGTATCTTAATAGAATGTAGGGGTATATGGACACTATAGAATTTTGAACATATCGTAAATTTAATAAAATACGGGTATTATAAAACGATTATATAATAATTGAAAAACCGTCGTAGATAATTTAATTGCTGGTTCGTTATATATATATATATATAAAAAAAAACAATTTTAAAAATGTCTCGGTGCATCATGATGTATATAATGTATTGTAAAATATAATTTATCAATTTCTTTACATTTTACGTGGGTTAGTTTATTTTTGGAACACTAGTAATATTATGGCGGTCTTGGAATGCAAACGCATTGTCGTTTTGTACAGTATAATCAAAACCGTGACGGGCGGTGTTCATGGAATCATAATAGGGGTACCTATCTAACGTTTAACGGAAATCGAAAATAATTTATCGTGGTTGGGTGATACATGTATACATTTTCGACAGTATTTTCTATAATGTGCGTTAAGCCTCAATGTTGATTTCTACGGCGTTGTCGAGACGGCACGGACAGTCCAAAGTAATTTATTGCTAACCAACCATAGGGGTCATGACAGTTAGTGGATCTCGGACACGACCGGACGTAGACAATCGTTTTTATTAGTTTTGAATTGTACCTATACAGTAATGCGAGGTATTATTTTATTTTTGAAGCGTTTTTGTTCCCAGGACACATTCTATAGTGACGCCACTTTAGTAACAAAAAAAAAGGTTTCGGACAGCTATGCATTAATCGGAAGGAGTGTATAAATTCCATGGATTTAATCTAAAGTATACTGGACCTTACAAGTCACAATAAAATAATTAAAGTGTATTATTATGATGTGTAGGTATAAACTTCGGTCGTAAACTCAATTATATTTATGTTATTTTTTTTTAAATCGTTTTTCATTCTTGATGTTTGTGCAGCGCCGACGGCATGGTGTAGCAGACCTATATTAACCGTGATTCCAAATTAATATAGGTGTCTATGTTAACTGTGAGTCTGAACATATGTGCTTCATGAAAAGCCCCGTGCTAAAAAATTCTCGAATAGAATATGTTTTAAATTTTAGCCAAATGCCACATTTTCAGTCACAGATCACACTGTCACAGCATAACATAGTAAACTGTCGTTAAAGTGTACCAAATTCTGATGCTTTCTGTTTGAAAATTAATCTATAGTCAATTTGAAATAGTCCCACGAAGATATACCCATTGTAATATCTCTGGAAATAATAAGGATAATCTAATTCTGTTTTTTTATATTACTAACTAGGATGAAAATTATAAATGTTTAAATTGCGATTATTACAACTTAATTTTATTATTTTTGGAAAATTTGAAAATAACTATTTTAATTTATAATTATATAATGCCCGGATTTGAATGCAGAAATCCTTTTTTCAATTTTCCGCTACTTAACCATTTTTAGAGAATTTTTTTTTGACATTTGTCAGTAGTTATGTTTTTTTTAAGAGCATATTTATATACCATCAAATTAATTGTTTCAATTTAGATAATTAAAAATATTATCTCAATACATTTTTTTTTTTCATGCAATTATATGTAGGGATACATATTAAAGTTATGCGTATGAAAATTACAGTGTTTTGCTTACAAATAATTTTTTTTTTAACGAGATATAGATAAGATGTCTGAACTCAAAAACTATCTGGATATAAATAGATTATGAAACAATTAAACATATATATATAACGATTAGATACAATTAATAGATTTTTGATTAATGATTTTGATCTGAGCGCAACGAGAAATGTATTGGTTTTGTAATAATTTATATTATTATTAATTTTTTTATATACTGTGTACAAAATGTCTACTAAAAATCATGTTCCAATTTTTAAGTGTAGCACTTTTTTTTTTAAATAAAATGTTATCTAATTGGTCCTCAAAGGAAGTAATTATATAAATTTTCTAAGTGGTTTTCATAATAACATTAAAAAACACGAAAAAACCTAGAAAAAACGTACGGACAATATCTAAAGCGTAGGATTTCATGATTTAAGTTTTAGATTCGGAGCGTACGTGTTTTATTTTTGTCTTTGTGAACAACCTTTCAGAAATCTTGCTCTGAAGTATTAAATATAGCATTCTTTCTAAAAGGAAATTTTCTCTAGACCATGAGTTAGAATGTCGTTTGATTTTTTGTAAGTTTTTCTAATAATTACGAAAATCTGGGAATAAACTCAAGAAATACAGCAAAATGTACGGCATTTGGGTTTTTTGTTGTTATTCGGTTAAAAATTACTTTAGAGAGCTGTAATTTTTACAAAACATTTATATTGGCTTTTTGTAGACATGGTACAATTTGAAAAATATTCTAGATATTTTTGAGCTACATATAGGTATTTTATACCGTACACCATAAGCTAAAATATATACTTTTTCATACTATACACACTTCATACAACTCCAGCAATACTATATCATAGGTATCACCACCACCTACCCCGCAATGGAATCTTTTTAGTTTTGATGGGAGGGAGGAATATTTTTGCTTAACATATCTAATGAAAAAATAACCGTTCGAAAATTAATCTCAATTTACATTTTTCTCTATGTACTATAATATTATGAGGACAAATAGCTCAATTTTTTTTTTAATTGGATTCTAAATTAATATAGTACCCACCTTAAGACGTTTTTTTAGATTTTTTTGTAAGTACTAAATAACTATTTTTGTTTTTTTTTTTTTTTTATAAATTTAATCAAAACAGTTTTATAAATACAAATATGATACATACAATTTACTCGTCTTTTATTTGAATACAATAATTATTAATTACATACGTCATCAATTTTGATTCTTTATTGAATAATCTATACTTCATATGAATTAAACATTGATTAAAAAAAGGTCCCTTTTATCTGTGGTATGCCTTCATATTTGAGTCAACTAATTGTTGTTTAAAATTTGAATAAAGAAACATTTAAGAATTTTTTTTTTCTCCAATAATAGTTATTCAAAGTGCAAAAAAAAATGTAAAATTGAAAAACGAATACAAACAAATAGCATAATATAGCTGCTGCGCACTTTTTAATTTCCTACTGCATAAATGTTTGTTAAAAATTTAAGAAATCAAATTTACTGATTTTATTTTGTTTTAGATAATTCAGGACCTTTAAATATAATTGCATCCACATCAGAAAAAATGGCTGAAAAAACGCAAGATTATCAAACAGTCTCCGAACCAGGCTCATCCATGCATACCGAAAGTAATAGACCGAGTAATTTGAATTCCTTTTTAGAAGAAATTCAAAAGGTTTTCGTGGATGCTGTTAAAAAAAACGCGAAGAAGAACAATAAAAAAGTTGATGGTAACAACTTACCTATATACTTTTAATATTATTAAATATAAATTGACATAAATATTTTGAAATAATTTACTAAAATTATATATTTTTGATAAATATTAATCCACTAAAAAAAAAAAAAACAATGTGGTGTATTGTTCTTTTATATTGTGTATAGGTTATTTGCTTTTCCGTTCATATTCATGTTAGCATTGTATCTTTATTTATAATCGTAAATATTAGTAGCACCCGAGCTATATTAAATTATTTTTATTAAATCATCGCATTGTATCAAATATAAACATTTTCCATACTAATGAATTTATGAAATTACTTAGCCCCTTTTTGATATCACAACTTTTCTAACTTAAGTTATTTTTTTTCATATTAAGGTTTTTATACGTAGTTGATGGAGGATTTTTGTTGGGAATATTACTACTATTAACCAAACTCCACTTGGAATCATTTTTCATTAGCAATGGTTATCATACAGATATATATTAAATTTTTCTCTACTACCTTCACAACTTTTCACCTTCAACAGTAGTTGCATCCTTTTCAGTTATCCTAGGATAGATTTTTTATTATGGTAAAATGAACATTTATTTACAAAACTCACAAAAACATTGTGATTGTATCTCTGTTTGAACATTAATCCATAATCAATATGAAATAGTCCCACGAATATATACCAATTGTAATGGAAATTTCTCTGGAGATAATAAGGATAATCTAATTCTGTTTTTTATATTACTCACTGGGATGAAAACTATACATATTTAATTTGCAATTATTACAACTTAATTTTATTATTTTTGGAAAATTTTAAAATAGCGATTTTATTGATTTTATTCTTCATGAAATGTTGACACCGAATAATATGAATTTCAATTTTTGGGTAAAACAACACTTCATATTTTATCCACTCAATTATAAGGTTTAAACAACAATAATTGGGAATAAACGGGATTAATAAAATTATTTTAAGGATAACGAGATTGTATGGTAATTGTACTTAATGATAGTACGAAGTACTATCATTTTTTAAAAAAAGCTAAAATCACAAATTTAATAAAAATAAAAACTTGTTATTTCAAAAGTTCTTCTATAAACTGTAAAATATCCATTTTCAAATTTGTTTTAAAATTATAAAACAAAGTTATTTTCTTAAATCTTTTGCCAAAACATAAAAAATTAATTACAAAATAAATATTCGTAGTTTTTATCTTTTTGAGTAATTAAAAAAAAAACACGATTTGATTACCTTTATTATCTCCGGAAATATTACAATGAGTATATCTTTACTGTATACTGTATACTATGTGTACAGTGACCCTACTTATTAATTACTGGTAGATACCTACTATAATTTATGGTTATTGCATGTTACAGACTATTTTATTTTTATATTCCGGTTTCATCATTATGAAAGCCAGTTATAAATGACATATATATGTAGGTTCTTTTAACCTCATAGTGTAAAATTATTATACGGGTTGAGTTAAATGATCTAGTGCAATGTAATGTGTGTGTGCAAATTCAAATACACATGAGGGAGGTTCAAAATAATAAACAAATTAACATATTTCGCACAATGGGTGGTTCACTGTTGTAATGGAGATATTGGGAAGGTAGAGACGAAATTTAATGTAGGTATATCTGTAACCAACAATTAATCATTGTTAAAGAATAATAATTTTGAAGATAGTTCGGTTATACATGCATAATAAATTTTAAAAAGGTATCCATTTATTATAAAAACCCCAGGTAAAATCAAAAATTTATCTCCCTATAGTACCATCTCAGTCAAGTTTCCTTTCAGAAAAAGTGTTACACTTGAAAAATGTCTAGTAGATAAGTTATTTTTACGCAAAAAAATAACAAAACATTGTAAAACCTATTTTCTAGTTGTTGTTTTTGTCAAAAATTGTGATTATTGTATTTCAAGATATGCATGTTTTATAAATTACTAATAGCTTTAGATTGTTTCAAAATATTATACATTGTATAATCGACTAACTAGTACAAATCAATTCACAACAAGGTATTTAGCCCATCTCCTACAAAACAATATGTAATATTACTGAGTACAATATAATTCAAATAACAATTTGTTTAAAAAACAATACATTTAATATACAATATTTAATGAAACAAAGAATATTGTTTTACATAATTTTGTTTATGTTTCTTTTAAATTTTTTGCAGAAAGAGAAAATCCAATTCTGTTTTCTGATGTTGATTTGACACCACGTAATATTGAAACTGAGCATGAAAACCCCTTACATATTTACACTGAGATGGATTCTACATTGCCTTCTAATGTAAAACGTCAAAATGAACAGATGTCTGGAGGTTTTCCAAACGTCGACGATCTGAGAAAACCTGAATTTGAGGGATTGAAAATAATAAGACGCATCTCTAAGAAAACTGAACCCGAAAATAAGGATTGACTAGCAACAGATTAAATGTCAACATTTTCATATTAAACATTAACATTTTGTATATTCAACTAAATTATAATTTTGTATAATTGAATATACCTATTCTATTAATTATTTTAAACTATCTTATCTATTTATTTCATAATAAGGACTTAAACTATTAACTTTTAAAATTTAAGTTATTAGAATTTTTGTCAATTTAGTAGATTTATAAAAACTATTATATTTATTTGAATTATTATGTTTTGGTATGCCACAATATTATAATAGAAATTAATAAGTATTATGTGTATCAATAATATTAGGATGATATTGAGAAGAATAATTTCTGCTACATTTTTTTTATAAATAGTAATAAATAATAATTATTTTTCATTAAACTGTAGATGCAAAATATGACTGGCTTTTTTAACATGAACCAAAAATTATCTCTGAGGAATTTGATTTATTTTTTTTCTAATCATTATGGAATCCAATAAGATTTTTTTTTTAATTCATTTTTCACCCCTACTCCCATATACCTTAAATAAGTACAAATGTTTACTTTTCTAATAGAAACACCCTCTTTTGAACACATATTTAAATTTAGTATATTTTTCTAGATATTTTCATATGCATAACACTAATATCAGATTTACCGTTTATGAGTTATAACAGTTTAAATTTTAGACGGAGGAATCTAAAGGTATGAAAAGATAATGAATTGCTTATCTAATAAATTTAAAATAAACATTATACATGTATAGAAATCTAGGTATATATATTATATTAAGAAGATACTTACTCTATTTTAAGCATGTGCTTGTGATGGAATAGATTGTTCAATAATACAAAAATAATATTTTTATTTTTATCAAATATAAAATATTTTATACAAATATGATTGACAAACGACAGAACTTAACAGTGCATAATATCTTTCCAAATATATAAATAAATGTTTAGTTATCAATGATAATACATGTTGACTAAAATTACTAAAATTCAGTATTTAGTAAATTAATAAGTGGGCCAGTACTTTTGTATTTTCCCGGGCCCAAATCTTTCACTAATCTAACCTAACCTAACCTGACCGTCTCTGGAGTGTGTTCAGAAACGTTTTCCAGAGTCGTCGGCTGTCGCCAGACTCGTTCAGAAAGTATTTCGGGCGTGTTGGGAAATTCATCGACACGTCCCTTTTGCAATCAGAAACCAGGTTAGTTTGCGTGATAGTTCGCCTCCTGTAGGCCATGTAACAACAGTGGTATATGTGGTTCAAACTACTTCTTACTTTGCACCAATTATCTGATACAATATTGCCCTACTATCACGCTTATTAAATAACAGAGTATATAACTACTGTTACTGTTTAAATTGATTTTTTAAAAAGGTTTTCTCAAGTTGTAGTTGAGAGAGTATGAACTATACTAAAACTAATTACAAAGACTAATAAATTACACTAATTAAAAAATATTAGTAATTTTAAGCTAAGTTACTAAAGCTTTGAAAAACATTATCAGAATAATGTATAACAACATTTTTGTATGTACTTTTCAATTCGAATTAGAGATTTTTTCTCTAATATAACCTCATCATCATCAACATCGAATAGTTCAGTCAGTCCACAATAAAAACGAAGTTTATCTGAGCATCTTGTAGCCATAGCTATAATTTTATTATTACTAACCATTAAACTATAAACAGGTTAACATATCTCTGGTAACTTGGTTAGTAACTAGTTTGGTATAGTATATTTTTACATACAGTTTAGTGGTAACACCGAAAACTATAATAATTATTATATACAATGAGGAAAATATGGTATGTTGAAATTAAGACATGTAAAGTGGTTTGGGAGACACTGGGTTTTTTTAATCAATTGTTGTTGAAATAAGATACATTTAAAAAAAAGTCCACATTCTCTTAGATACCTGTAAAAAATACAGAAAATTATAGTCTTTTGTTTGGTTTTCTATTTCTCAATAACATCGACATTCATTTGGTACTTATTTGAGTTTAAATCCGAAAAATCTAGCAAATTTCGTTGTCGGGCGATACTAATTTTTGTTTATATTCGAATTTTATTTAAAACTTTTCAGAATATACCCCATTGGAAACACAGCAACATATAGAAAAAACTAAGATTTTTCGTTTGATATTACTTTTTTTCGTAAATTATACTTACAAATAGTACTTAGTTGTGTTTAAATTCGAAAAAATCGTGCAAATTTCATAGTATTGCGATACAAGGTTTCTTTTATATTCGAATTGTATTTAAAATAATTCACAAGAGACTCCTACGAAATTTGCACGATTTTTTCAAATTTAAACTCTAATAAGTACTATTTGTAAGTCGAATTTAATAAAAAAGTAATATCAAACGAAAAAGCATAATTATTTCTATAATTTATTGTATTCACTTAGGGGTATATTCTGAATAATTTTAAATATAATTCGAATATAAAAGAAACCTTGTATCGCAATATTATGAAATTTACACGATTTTTTCGGATTTAAACACAACTAAGTACTATTTGTAAATATAATTTAAGAAAAAAAGTAATATCAAACGAAAAATCTTAGTTTTTTCTATATGTTTCTGTTTTCGCTTTGGGGTATATTCCGAATAGTTTTAAATAAAATTCGAATATATAGTATTGTAATACTACGAAATTTGCACGATTTTTTCAGATTTAAACTCAAATAAGTCGATTTTATGAATAAAAATATTTCTGTACATATCTATAATATATGTTCTTTAAAACAACTTTTCGATTATATTTGAATTTTATTTAAAATTATTTAGAATATACCCCAGAGCGAATACAGAAAGATATAGAAGAAAATAAGATTTTTCGTTTGATATTACTTTTTTTCGTAAATTCTACTTATAAAAAGTACTTTTTTGAGTTAAAATTAGAAATAATCGTGCAAATTTCGTTGTCGTACGATACTAATTTTCGTTGTATTCGAATTTTAATAATAATTATTTAAATTAATATTATGAGTGAATACGATAAATTATAGAAAAATTTATGCTCTTTCGTTTGATATATTTTTTTTCTTAAAATCGACTTACAAATAGTACTTGATTGAGTTTAAATTCGAAAAAATCGTGCAAATTTCGTAGTAGTGCGATACAATTTTGCTTTTATATTCAAATTTTATTTAAAACTATTTAGAATATAACCCAAAGCGAATACATAAACATATAGAAAAAAATAAGATTTTTCGTTTAGTATTATTTTCTTTCTTAAAATCCACATTCAACTATTACTCTTTTGAGTTTGCATCCAAAAAAATTGGGCAAATTGTTTGTAACCCTAAAAATATATGCAAAAAAGAATTACATGCATATAAAATTGTAGAGCAGCTCGTTTCTTATATGTTTTAGAAATAAAATTCTGGAGAAAATTTTTTTTTTCTGAGATAACGAGTGTACTTATTCATGTACTAAATGTTTATTAAATGGATCACCTATCTAATCATCACTGTACTATCTAACAAATTCAACTTGTATTTTTATACTTATTTAATATAAATTTCTAACTAAATCAAAACTCAAAATGAAAAATGTATTATAAATATAAAGTTTATTTCATATGGAAGTGCGTAAGAAAACGTGCTATGTAATTTCTGTATATTTTTAAAAATAAATACTATTACTATATAAAATTTTTATATGTCGACCTCTTCACAAAAAACAATAAAATCCATGGCACAACTTTTAATATATAGTCATACGATCTTATTTTATCGGTGATCAGCAGCCCACAATTTATTAACATTTGTACTTTTTAAATAAAATACATTTGACGTTTTTTACCTTGTCGTTTTTTTCCGTGTTAGTTTTGGCCGATTAACCCTCTTTATAGTCGACATCTGCTAAAGGAATGTTGACGCTCTTCCCCCCTCCTCTCTGCCACTGATAGTCTCTCGTTGAAACCAATAAATATATTGTGTTTATTTTACGAAACCTTGTGTTGCATTACAACGATAGTTTTGAAAACGGGCAAGTCCATTATCGAAAATTCGGGGGTAGGGAACCGTCTGCAGCTGCGTCGTATGGCAACCAAATCGAGGGATTAACTCGAAACGATGGCGGTGAGGTTTTCTAAACCCCTCGCCTCGCCCGCAGCACTCTTGACAACGACAAGAACCCCATCGTGAGAGAAGCAGTAAAATTTTTCTGACGATTTATCATATTCCGTATCAAAGCCGTTCCATTTCGCCGAATTTATTTTTCACATATGCTAATAACTAATAAGTAATAATGAATGAAGTATGAACAATATATATTTCATCCAATTTCCATGGATTTTCACTATTGCAGTTATAAAATTGTTAATTAAATTATAATGTAATTATTACTTTTCAACTTTTGATAATAAAATAATTTAATTATAATATGTAGACTAGTAATAATTGTACACAACGACAATAATTATTGTAATGTTATGCTCACATAACATAATATTATAACTGTATAATTATTTATTATTTATGTCATTACAAAAATGTAACTAAAAGATTAAAATTTGGCCGAGTACTTGGTATTTCACAAAAGGTAAATAATTTAATAAATCTAACGGATCATTCGCTATTCGAGAGGGATACAAGCTTATCTACAAGCAAAATAACTTAAATATGTGTCAAATATAATAGAACTGCATGACATCTGCTGCGGCCCTTTGAGGCCATTGCCGCCTCAGTCATACTATTGTATATTATCTTATTTTCACAATTCGATTATTAATTATTTTATATAGACATTGATGCGATTGCCATCTGTTCCGTCTTTTTAGGCCCACAAATTCCAGTGGTTTTCTATTATTCGAGAAAAATCAATATCCCATCCATAACCATCATTTAGATCATTCAAATATAAGTCAAATAAAATTAAGCAATAGATACGCAACATCAATCGGCCCTTTGATGATACCGCCGTGCCGTCATCATTCTTTCGCACTATATACCATTACAATTATTTCAATACAAATTTCAAATCAACGCATTACACTATTTTTTTT